GCAACGGGAACATTCGCATGGGTTGGTGTTAGCGAGGCCGAAGTCATTGTGCTCAATGACTTCAGATGGCACCCGGCTATCATTCCTTGGGGAGATCTTCTACAGCTATTGGAAGGGGATACAGTTCACCTACCTGCTCCGAAAACATTTTGGCAGAAAGACATAGAACTCTCTAAAGACATCCCTGTCTTTGCGACTGCTGATGCACCTCTAGTTTTGATAAAGGGTGGTACCGTAGACCATGCCAACACCCAAATGATGACCGTAAGATGGAGATTTTTTAACTTCTGGCGTCAGATTCCCCAAGAAAAACAGATTAGTATCCCGCCGTGCCCTAGCTGTTTTGCTGTTGTTGTTTGTTGTTGATTGTAAAGACCTTAACGAAGTTATGTAAGGGACGGCCCATTAGATAATTGAGGGGGGGGGGGGGGGGGGGGGCAATAACCAAAAAAAAAATTCGAGCACAGCCTTAAAGGAAGAAAAAAAAAATCGTGCACTAAAAGAGGGCTCAAAAAAAAATTCATGCAAATGAATATGCTGAATATTATGTCGAGAAGTAAACAGCTAGAACATGAAAAATATAGTTATTAAAGTAAAACGTATTCAGTCTTGCGTTTTTCAGTCATCTTTTTACAATGTATTCATATAGTACTGTTGTTGATACAGTCTAAAATTTAATACTATATCCATTCAGAAATGAAACAAAATAATTTGAATTTATGGCACCAACAAGGCAACCAGAAGTTTATTTTCATTAAATATCATTATTTTTACAAATGATAGAAAACATTCATTAAACTGTGAACTGACATATCTCAACAAGTTATGGAATGTATACAGATAGTACCAAGCACCAATTGAATTAATGAGAATGATTTTATAAATAAATTTTATAAATAAATTTTAAAAAGCCCATACGAACAATAAAAGGACCATACGAACAATAACAATTTAAAAATATATTTGTACTATAATAAATAATGCATTTGAATATTTCATAGAGATGATGGGAAAGTATTAATATTTCACTGTAAAAAGAGATCACTTAATCCAAGGGTGCACTACAACTGTCTGCTAATATCGAGTGCAAAAACTCTGATTTTTGGGGGTATTCTCATTCAATTGAGGTCCAGTTCCCTTGTTTTTAGTGGATATACCTTCTTATTAGTTGTTTTGTACACCATTCACACATATTTTAAGTGATCAATTTTTACAGTGTAATATTAACATTATAAAATATTAATCTTCCTCCTCTTCCTCCTCTTCCACCCCTCTTCATTGTCTTCTGTCCCCCCCTCTCCACCCACAGCCATACAATCCTCTGTACTCTCTTCTCCATTTGGTGTTACCACCCCATCAATCACCACTGATATCTCTCCACTGTCTTCCTGATCTTCTCCCGACATCAACACCTCTCTGTTTTCTCCACATTTCCTTTTTCTTCCTCAGCTGTTAATACTTCTGATACTTCTTGACTTTCTTTGTCATCAAGTCTTCCTTTCTTTATGTTTGCTTTAGTGCTTTTTTTCCTTTTTTTTTTGTTTTCTTTCGAAGGATGTTATAATACTTTGGTTTTCTATGGAACTGATGATCTTTAGTGATATACATATATGTGAACCTTCATGTTTAAGCCTATTTCCAGAATGATATATAATAACMAAAACAACAACAACAATAAATGAAAGTCAGGGAGTACATTTGTGCTGCTTTCACTATAATAATCAAAATCTCTAAAAAATGTCTAAAAATATAAAATGTTTAAACTCTGCAAGCAATTAATTTTTCGGAAAAAAAATTCCTGCAAGCAAATTATTTGTGAAAAACAAAATCGTGCATGGCCACGAACGACAAAAAACATTACTGCAAGACCAAAATTGCCCAACCCCCCCCCCCCCCCCCCCTCAATTATCTAATGGGCCGTCCCTAAGTGTAAGACCATCTAATGTACCTCGCATATTTAGCATGTTTGCATAAATTATAATATGCTCAGTCGGACATTACTCTGCATGATTTTCCTTGTTTTCGTACAGTTAGAACCATAATAATCAATTTATTTAATCACACCTTACTTAATTTACCAAAAACCAAGTATTTTTTGCCTCGATGTTTTCAGTTTAAATCAATCATTTTTATTGTTATTGTTCTTCTATCAAGGATCAAAAACTGTTGACAAAATGTTACAATATTGAATGGAGTAATGATAGCTCATTGCTAAGTTAAATAGTTGATATTGTTGCAATACTTGAGTGCCCGTATGTATAAAGTTCCAATCCTGGTATAATAGAATTCATATCCGAGTATAGAAAATAGATATACGATTACTGTTT